ATGTTTTTGCAAAAAAAAAAAAAAAAAACGGGTTTTTCTTTTTTTTTTTTTTTTTGGAGTGCAGCGTGTGTTCGCTTGTTTGCAAATTCATTTTTTAAAAAAAACGTTCCCTGTGAGGTAAAACCCCAGGGGGGTGGGGCTCTGTGAGAGCCTGAACCTGGGACAGAGTCGTCTCATCTTGTCAGCTCCAGCACCGCATGCTTTCCTCTCAGGGAATGGGGACAGGACAGGGGTGTGGGCCCAAGAAGTATGTGGAGCCATCAGACGGGGTCATGGAGAGGCCGAGCTGCCACTAGGCAGCTTTGGTCAAGATGTAGGGCCAGTCCCCACTCTGGGCAAAGGCGGAGGTGGAGGGAGAAGCACATGCTCACTATCTCAGGGCTGGGCTGGGGGTGCCTGACAGAGACCCCTGGGGGAAAAAGATGGAAATGGGCCCAGGCCCAACTGGCACCGTGCAACACTTTCCTGCAAAACAGCTGCTTTCGTTTTCTGCTCTCTTGAGGCGTCCGTCACCTGTAACAGTCTAGAAGTGATATACATATAAAAACCATCAAATATGATCTGAGATATAAATTAACAAGTACAAGGCCTCACATTACATGATGTGAAAAGGCTAAAAACAGCGATAGAAACTACATTCATAAAAAGTGCATCGTAACATACAACGAAGGCTTTGGCTTGTTCTGGTGCCCGTGGGGAAGTGGGCATGGCTGGCAATGAGCTGCCTGGTGCTAATCCCCAGCTCCCTGGAGACGCCCATCCCTGGGCACTGGCTTTTTTTTTTTCTTTTTTTCCTTTAATGACAACTCCCAAGGAACTGGGTGTTGAGAGGGAGGAGCTCTAGCAATAGGCACATTTTGGAGGGGAGGGGCCGGAACAAAGGACCAGCGCCCAAGCTGAGGTAAATAAGGCCAACTCTAAGCTGCTTGGAGATACTGGCTCCCAGACTCCTGCTGCCGCTCCTCCCACAAGGGAGGAGCAAGAAGGGAAAGAAGCTGAGACCTTGGGGATGGACAAGGCTGGTCAAGGAGGAATAGAGCTGGCAGTTTTGGACATAGTTGGTGGCATCATAGGGGCTCTCCCTTCTACCAGGTGGAGAGGGTTCTGTCCTAGCAGGGTCACACTCCCAGACAGCCTGAACAGGCTGCTCAGGGCAGGGCGGCCAGCTGGATCAGAGGCCTGCACCGTGCTGTCCACTTCCCTTCTGCTGCAGTGGGGGGACAGATGCCAGGTCAGGAGCACAAAGGCCATTACCTTCAGCTCTTTCCAATCCAGCCCAAGGTCCAAGCCCACAGCAGGGGTAGTCAGAGGCCAGAGGGCACACAGCCTCTAGTTTAAAAACTGGGTACAGCATAAGAGTGACTCCAACTTGTAAAACAGAGACAATTGCATTGACAAAACTGCCCTCTCAGTGGGGCAGTTCCACATCTCAGGCTCCTGCTTGGAAGGCAGGGTCACAGGGGCAGGCAAGACGTGCTCCTCCTTCCCTGAATAAGGCAGCGTAACATCTGCTCACTCATCTTTGGTAAAGGACAGGGACTGGCAAAGCTGACCTGGGGGCCCCAGGGAGAGCGCAGCCCAGGCCTCTGCCTTCCATTGGCTTCTGGATGCAGGGTTTTTAACTCAGGCGTGGGTGGCCTCACCCAGCCCAGAGATGCCCTGGTGATCTCAGACATGGGGAGGAGAAACAAAATAACACTCTGGATGAAAGTAACACTATTTGGACCCTCGTGTCCATCCTGTGCCCCTAGTCCTTCTGGGCTCTGGTGCTGCTTGCAGTGTCAGGACACAGCCTCAAGGCCCACCGCGCCTTGCATACTGTTCCTAGCTCCTTCTCCTCCACACTGAGCTTACAGGACTGGGCTCTCAGGTCTGGCAGGCTGGGGGCTTTGTCCTTGAGGCTGCAGCTGCCCCACCCTGGCTCTAGCCCCAGCGGCGGAAGAGGCACAAATGCTGGCTGAACTGCAGCTCTGTGGTCCACAGCCTTGCCTGGGAGAAGCAGCAACTTCGCTGAGCCCCACAGCAGCCCCTCGCCCATGCAGCAAGGGCAGCCAGCAGCAGCGTGGCCTTGAGAGCTCAGTACACGAGCTGTGCAAAGTGGTGTGTGAGCAGCTCCTCAGCTGAAGGTCTCTGGCGGGCCTCCACAAAAATACGCCTCAGGAAGTCCCGGCCATGCTCAGAGATGTGGGAGGGCAGTTGAGGATTGGTGGGCTGGGTGGCAATCTTGAAAATGGCGGCCATGGCTTCATACTCTGCCCAAGGTGGTTTCTCCGTCAGCATCTCCACCACAGTGCAGCCCAGGCTCCTAGAAAGAGAGATCTCCATGTCATTCCTTGGCCAGCCCCAGGCTGCCAGCTGCCCTGCCCACTGCTGTAAATGGAGGTGCCTTTCTCAGAACACACTGAGGCAGGATGGGCCAAGCTGAGGGTTGACACCTGGTAGAGGGTCCCCAAAACCAGAAGAGGCTTCAAAGCACTGTTGGCATTGTCCACATGGGCTTTACCAACCTAAACCCACCCAGGTACTTCTTGAGACTGGGGAAGAGAACCACCTAGCATGGATAGAAAGAGCTCCAAGATAACTATTATCAGATTCCTACTGCTGCTCTAACTAATTACCAGGAACCTAGTGGCACCAAAAACAATATGAATTTATTATAGTTCTGGAGCTCAGAAGTCTAAAATCAGTCTCACTGGGCTAAACTCAACATCTCAGTGGGGAAGGTTCTTTCTGGAGGCTCTGAAGCAGTGGTCCCCAACCTTTTTGGCATCAGGGACCAGTGCTCCAATGAGAATTCAATGCCTGATGATCTGAGGTGGAGCTGAGGCGGTGATGCTATTAGCACTGGGGAGCGGCTGCAAATATAGATGAAGCTTCACTCACTGGCCTGCCATTCACCTCCTGCTGTGTGGCCTGGTTCCTAACAGGCCACTGATCGGTACTGGTCTGCAGCCCGGGGCTTGGGGACCCCTGCTCTGAGGGGAGAATCTGTTTTCTTGCCTTTTGTAGCACCTAGAGGCCACCTGCATTTCTTGGCTCCTGGCCCCTTCCTTGTGTCACTACAACCTCTTGCTTCCATCATCACATCTCCTACTACCCACTCTGATCTCCTGCCTTCCTTTTGTAAGAACTCTTTTGATTACACTGGGCCCGCCTGGATAATCCAAGATAATTTCCCCATCTCAAAATTCTTAAATTAATCACATCTGCAAAGGCCCTTCTGCCATATAAGATCACATTTATAGGTCAAAGAGATTAGTACAGGGACATCTTCAAGGGACCATCATTAAGCCAAGCACAAGAACGTTCCAAGAGGAAAAGCCACTCTCAAGACTTCCAGGTACTTTCAGAGGATTGAAATTAAGTAGCACAAATGCAAGTTGCCTGAGCGCTATGAGAGAGCCTGCTACCGTTGAGAGGCTGATCCAGGCCTTCATTGTTAATCCATCTTTCAGGATTTAGCAAACATCAGGGATGTTTTCCATGGCCTAAGTTCCCAGCAATAAGTTGCTATTTGGAGTTAAAACACACTGCCACCTCTGCATGAAAGCTGGCAAGAGGTGGACTCTCTCCTCATCCTACCACACCGCAGAGCCCCAAGGCTCATTTCTAAGTTGGAGCTATTACAGCCCAGACAGGGACATGGGGGCCCAGCACGTCCGCAGCGCTCACCACACATCTGCCTTCCTTCCGTAGCCCTCACCGCTGATCACCTCAGGGCTCATCCAGTAGGGTGTGCCGGTGACCGAGCGCATGCCCGTGCCCGAGCACATGCCCGTGCCCGACATGCAGATGGTCTGCAGGCGCTTGCTGGCCCCAAAGTCCCCCAGCTTCACATTCCCAGCAGAGTCTCGGAGGATGTTGGCTCCTAAGGCGTGAAAGGGCAGAGGCTGCAACCTTGGACCCTCTGGGCTTTTTCTACCGCCTCCCTCTTTC